CGCCGGCAGCCGCTGCCCGCTTCCCCCCATCTTCCTGCTGAGCCTCCACCCTCAGCCTGGCCTCCCAGCCGTTCGGGTCACCTCTGCAAGGCCGCGGCCCCCGACCTCCCGAGCTGAGGTGACTCCGGCGCACCCCTCGGGGACCGGCGCGTTTCATTCTCGGTACTCCTCTCCTGCAGACATGTCTAATCTGCTGACGTGCTGTCTTGCTCTTTAAAACGAAGTCCCATCTTCCTGCTGAGCCTCCACCCTCAGCCTGGCCTCCCAGCCGTTCGGGTCACCTCTGCAAGGCCGCGGCCCCCGACCTCCCGAGCTGAGGTGACTCCGGCGCACCCCTCGGGGACCGGCGCGTTTCATTCTCGGTACTCCTCTCCTGCAGACATGTCTAATCTGCTGACGTGCTGTCTTGCTCTTTAAAACGAAGTTGCACGAGGTCAAGGATACATTCTGCCTTGCTCATCTCTATTTTTAGCTCCCTGAAGGAAACCTGGCAAAAAGCGCTGATGAACGTCAGCAGGACGAATCGACTGATGCACTTATTCACTTCCTTCACGTAGGCAGTCATTTTTTTGTTGTTGTGTGTGGAGGCGCCCTGATAAGCACTAGGGTTACCAGGATGAACAAGACAGGAACCCCCCCTGCGGGTGAGAGCGGAGATCTATTAAAGACGAATTACAGCAACACTAAAAGCCAGTGCCTTTGAACTCCAGATGCCAGAGTTTCAAGTATTAACTCACTTGACTGACACAATTAAAGGTGCTATAATCGTGCCCGTTTGACAAAGGGGCACACGGAGGAGAACACGGTGTTTTAAGCTGCTGGGCCCTCTAAGGAACGGGATCCGGAGAAGGCAGGCTAGGGAGACTTCGGGTCAGCACCTTGGGAGTACAGGCGGTGTCAGGTAGGTTTGGCATCCTGATTGTTTCCTGTCCATCAGTCTCCCGAGGGACAGTAGGTGGGCGCTCCTGTTGCCAGGGGAACCCACCTCAATCAGCTGAGCAGGCAGCTGAGGAGCCATTGTGGATGGCGTGCCAGCTGAGACCTGCGCTGGGTTCTAGGGTGGGAGCCTGCCTGCCTATTCAAATGGAGCAAAGCATGTTCAAATTCCCACGGAAACTTGTGAGGGACACCCCACCTGCTGATGCCCCCTTTTCTGGAAGAGTCTCCAGGAAACCTAGGAGCTAAACTTACTCTATCCCTGGAAAAGTTTCATTCTCTCTGTCTGGCACCCATCCCAGCTTCTATGATCCAGATGCTTGCGTTGAGATTTCAGATGAGATGTTTTATCCTTAGGGAGGTTCTGCGCTAGCACCCTCTCCAAGGGAATCCCTTTGTCATTGCCCCATCATTGCATGTTAGAACCCCTTCCCAGAGTGGAAGGCAGCCCAGTCAGCTTCCTCACTTATTCCTGAGCAGATTTTTCTTGTCTCTCCATCTGCTCATGATAAAATGTCTCTCAGTTTCCTGAGAACAGGACCCTTGGAACCCAGAGCAGGCCCAGCTTTCAGAAGGGGCTCAGTAGTTTTAGAAAGAAAAGACTGAAGCTGGATGTGGTAGTGCTTGCCTCTAATTCCAGCCCTCCTGGAGGCTGAGGCAGGTGGATCACAAGTTTGAAGTCAGCCTTGGCTACACAGTGAGTTTCAGGCCAGCCTGAATTACATAGTGGAATCTGGGCGGTGGAGTGGAAGTTAAAAAAAAATCAAGAGCATGTTGTGATGCCATAGATCTGTAATCCTAGAACTCCACAGGCTGAGGCAGGAGAATCATTTGGCAATTTAATGAGACCCTGTGTCAAAAAAAAAGGGCTGGTGATATAGCTCTGGGAGAAGACCCTAGCTGTAACCCCTGGTACTAGAAAAAGAGAGGAGAGAGGAGAGAGAAGACAGAGGATGAAGGGAAGAGGAGAGAGACAGTCAGACACAGAGAAAAGAGCTGTTCACTAAATCAGTACAGTTTTCACAATCTGAGCACTTCCTTCCCAGGAATCCCTTTGTAACACACAGTGGCCCAGCCGTGTTGGGCATGTTGACCCTCCTGGGCCCCATGGGACTGCTCTCCTGCTTTGGGGCAGGATTCTAAGACAACCCTACCATGTTCAGGAAAATCCAGGGGGGAAGGCAAGACGTAGAAGGGGCAATAGTGTGTGTGTGTGTGTGTGTGTTTGTGGTGGAAAACAGGGTAGTGAGCCAGGCCTTCTGGCAGAGGGGTGGTACTTCAGAGCCTTACGACCCTGCTGTTGCTAGGAAAACTGGGTACCTAAAGGCTGTGGCTGTTTTTTCTACACTATGAACACAGACTCTGGAACAGATCCGCACACAGACACTGAGGAGGGAATCAAACTCAGGTTTATTCAGATTGTCTTTCCCATTTTGAGTTAAATGTGGAGGGGCACAGCCGATCCTGATCATACCAACCCTGTGGTCTTCTCCAGGGCTAAGGGAGAGGGTGGCTGACAACATTCAGGCTCAACTATAAAAGAAATCCAGGCTGAGGTTGGCGGGAGACGGCTCTGTGGGCCAGGCCTGTGTGAGTAGCATATGTGTCTGCACATGTTGTATCTCCTACAAGCAGCTGGGAAGCCCCTCTGCACCAGGCCAGCACACTCAGTGGGCTTCTTCTTTGGTCTTTCTTGCCCCTTTTGGTCCTTTCCTTGCATGTGCAAGGAGGTAGGCAACCACCTCAGTCCTGGGGTCCTGAGGGAGGCACTCTAATGAGGGGCTCCCTGGGCAGCTGTCTGGGAGTGACTGCAGGGCACCCATGCTGTCTCAGCTTCTGCTAGGCCACTGCTCAGCCCATCAGGCCTGTGTAGGAACTGCCTCAGCAAGGGGGAGGTATGGAGCTCGAGGTGGGGGCCTGGGCCCCTGGGTGGCTTTGCCTGCTCGGTGACCGTGGTGGAGGAACTGAGGACTGTGTTCCCAAACTGGTCCACCTCCTCGTACTGTTCAGTCACAGTTCTCATGGCTCCACAGCACTGGGAACCACCTGGCCTGGTCTGTAGCTCCAGGATGTTCTTTTGCCACCCTGTAGGCAGAGGGCTGGCCAGGGCAGGGGCAGGCTTGGGCTGCCCAGGGTACTTGGTGGCCATGTCCTTTCCCCCAGCTGTGTACTGAACACCTTCCCGGTGAAGCAGGGCCTGGCTCATGTTCTGAGCTAGGTGTGTGCTGTTCCCTGAGTCTTCAGGACTGTCCTTAGTGCTGGAATCCTCTGGAAGCTTTCTTGTGCCTGACTGGATGGAGATGAAAGTTGGGGAAGAGGGTGACTCTCTGCTGGAAAGCAGGACGCCAGGAAGACCTGAATCTTTCCTTGATGTCTCCTGCCCCCTGGTGGGAGGGGTAGTTGAGGCTGCCTGACCTCTGACCACTGTGTGATTTCTGATCTTTGCTTGACCCTGGTCTTCAGTATGGCATCCAACCTTGGCTTGGTTCTTGATAACTATTGGATCTTTGATCTCCTGGCCTGAGCAACTGGGTCTAGCTCTACTGCAGGCCGAGACTGTGACCTTGTGAGCACTGTGATCCTTTTGGGGTTCCTGGGAATGGCTCCTGGTGTTAGCCTCGGGCTGGAGGCTAGACATGGAGCTGAGGGCTTTGCGTATAGCCTCTTCAATGTCCAGCAGCCTAGCCATGGTTTGTTCCTTCAGCCGGGCAACCTCCGTACTGACTCGTGTCAGCTCCCCAAAAGCCTGCTCGACTGAGGCCTCGGGCTTGTGAGGGGCAGCAGGAGCCTGAAGGGCAGCCCCTCCTACCTGGGGCACAGTCTCAAAGAGCCTCCGCAGGGCCTGCACATCCACACTCCTTGCAGCTTCCTTCTCCAGGTCTTGCACCTGACTCAGGAGGCCCTGGAGCTCTTGATGGCTTCCCTGCAGAATCTGGGAGTTCTTGGGGAACCCCCGCTTGGGACATCCTATGGGCTGCTCTCCTGGTGGGCAGGGGCCCCACTGTGGTGAGGTGGAGTCACTGTCGAGAGTGCTGAGCTTGGTGGGCTCAGGGCTCTGAGCATTGCTGCCTGCAGCCTGACCCTTGGTGGGCTTGGTGGTTGCCGTGGTGAGGTCGTGTTGGGGTATGGGATGGCTCTGTCCACTGGCCCATCCAGCCAGAGGCATGCAGCCCTGGCCTCCTGCAGTGGGAACCTCAGCTGGCAAAGGGCTGGCTGCTGGTGTCTCACCTGGTTTGTGTTCTCCTCGTCCCAGCTCTGAGGAGAACTTGGGTGACCGAACTGAGGCCTTGGGGGGCCTCTGAAGAGGGAGCTGGCTTAGATGTGCAGGTTTAGGGGGCACTGGAGGCTTCTTCCTTGGAGGCATAGTGGGTCCTGGTTTTGGGGTCTTTGTCTGTGACCCCCCAGGGTTTCTCTGGCCAGCAGGGTTGCTCTGAAGGGTGTGAAGAAAGGGTTCCTGGAGGGGCTTGGAGGCCTGCTGGACGGAGTCTTCATCATGTTGGCCTTGGGCTGGGAGGTCAGGTCCTGTCACAGCAGCTGGGAGAGTAGGAGGGGGAGGAACAGAGGCATTATGGGAATGTAGGTTGGCATCTGCAGCCTGGGCCCCAGAGGACAGCGTGAGGTGGGCCAAAGGGGCAGTCTTCAGGGTGGTCTCTGCAGCTTGGAGGCCCCCTGGGCGGTCTTGGGCCATGATCTTCCCTGGAGGACCCCCGGCCCTCTGTGTGCAGCCGGCAGGCTCCTCCTGCCCTGGCCCCAGACTCTTAGCTGGGCCTCCTGGTAGTGGGCTGGGAGCCTGGGCTGAGTAGAGAGTCTCCCTGACCCTTGGCTGGGGGTCAGAAGGCTGGACACTCCTGGGTGGCTCAGAGGTTGTCACAGGGTGAGCAGTGTAGATGCCATCCTGAATTGTCACCCACCCCCCAAGCAGCCCTCTGGGTGGTGCTTTCTCTTCCCCACTGACCTTTCTGGGGGCTGCTGGGGTCCTGGAGTCTCCTCCAGCCATAGACCTCTGGGTAACTGCTACAGCAGGGGCTGGTGCTTGCAGGCCATCCTGGACGGGCACAGCTGTGGCTGCAGGAGTGGAGCCCTGCTTGTGCCTGCTCAGAACTTGCTGGTGCAGGCTTTGGGCTTCAGCTGTTGCCATCCGCAGACTCTGCAAGGCTGCCTGGAGGTCTGGGGCCCTGGACTCTGTAGGGGCCATGGCACCTTCGGACCTTCCCAAGGCTGCTGTCCTTTTCTGCCCAGTGTGACTGCTGTCCTCTTGCTCTTTTGTGTCCTGCAGTGGGACTGGGGCTGCAGCCTGCCCACACAGAGAGACTGCCTTTGCAATGGCCTGAGGTGGGCAGGAGGTGGCCCCTGGGCCTCTCAGATGTCCCATCCCCAAGCTGGGGTCCAGTGGGGGAACATGGATGATGCTCTCAGTTGGGAGAAGCCTCTGGGTCCCTTCATTCGCTGGCCCTGGACTGGGGTCATCTGGTGGCTCCCAGCGAAGACTGTGCAGGCCACTCAGGTCTCCTTTGTCTATGCAGCTGGCCAGTAGCTGCACACTGCTCCTTTCTGGGACCCTGCTGGTTAGCTGGGGCTGTAGGGAGTAGGCAGTCAGAGAGACTAGACCCTGTTCTGTCTCCTGCATCACCAGCCCAGTCCTCGCCACAGATGTCCCGAGACCACAAGCTAGCAGCTGCTGGAGCTCAGGATCCATGTCCTCAATACTCCCACTGTTGCCTGGAGCTGGCAGCCTCAGTGGGTGGAGCCGGAGCTGGCCAGTTGGCTCCTCCTGCACCAGCAGGCCCTGCTGGTCCACATCTGGCCGGCGCAGCACTTGGCGGACAATCCTGGGTAGCTCACCAGACACCAGCTCCTCTTTCTGTACGTAGGGACACCCCTGCCCTGGGCCTGGGAGCGCATACTTGGCAAGGCAGAGCTCCCCGGGCCCTCGGGCCTCCATGAGGATGCCTCCATGGTGCAGGATGCCAGGTGTGGCGTGCAGAGTCCGAAGTGTCCCCTCGGCTACAGTCTCCTGCTTTTCTGGTGTCCCATTGCCAGAAGGCTTCCTGGGCTGCTCCTCTTGGAGGTCACCCCCTCGGATGCTCTCAGCTGCCAGAGAGCCCATGGGGCAGTTCTCAAAGAGCCAGGTGAACTTGTGCACAGAGCCCGTGGGTATGGGCCCAGGGGCTATCCTGGAGTCCTGCTGTTCCCTCTTACTGGCCTCCAGGGCCTGGAAAACCTCCTTCTGCCGTGACACCTTCCCGGAAGGGATCTCCACCCGGCTGCAGTATCTCACAGGCCCTCTTCCACAGGCCCGGCCCGAGGCCTGCAGGGGCTCTGTCTCAAAGATATGCCCATCTGTCTGTCTTTCCCCTGCCTGCACCTGGCTGACCTGCAAGTGCTTCTCCCTGGAGTCATCTGCCTGGTCAAGAGGCTGCGGCTTGAACATCCAGGTGCAGGATCGCTCCTCGGCCTTGGCTGTGGGGTCTGTGACTTCTGAGTCCTGCTTCTCTGCCAGCTCGCTTATTGGGCATGTCTCAAACAACCACCGGATGGTCTGTACATCGCCTTTTGGGGGGCCCTCAGGCTGGGGACCTTCTCGACTCTTTCCCTCCTCTCCTCGTTCCTGCTGCTCCCGCTGGTGGATCACCTGCAGGGGCTGGGTCTCAAATAGCCACCGAGCAGTGCTAACATCTCCAGCCACCACTTCCTGCCGAGTGATGCCCTGTACCACATCGATGGTACTGCGGCTTCGACCCAGCCGGTCTAGGGGTTGAGTCTCAAACATCCACCTGTAGCCCTGCACGTCACCTCCCACCACCTGCTCTCTGCTGACCGAGGTCAGGGCGTGGAGCTGGCCCTTGCTGTCCTGCACAGCGTACACTGGGGAGCCTGCTGCCTGGGACTGCCCAGCAAAATCAGTGGTTCCTGCTGTGTTCACATTCTCAGGGACTGAAGCCTCCCCCTGCCCGATACTGTCCAGGGGAAGGGTCTCAAAAAGGTTCTTGAAGGTTTTCACATCCCCTTTCACCCGGTCCCTCTGTGGGGCCCCCAGAGAGATGGGTAGTGCTGATGAGCTGGCACACGTGAGCCCTTCACCTTCCTGGTGGCCCACCCGCTGCAAGTGACCCACTTGGACTTGGGCTCCAAGAGTGTCCAGGGGTTTGGTCTCAAACAGCCACAGGGTGGAGCGAACGTTGCCAGGGACCACCTCCTCCTTTGGCTGAGCCTCAGCTGCAGCCTCCTCCGCCCCCTTCAAAGTGTCCAGGGCACGGGTCTCAAACAGATGGCGCTGCTGTTGAACGTCTGGTCCAGGAGGGACGAGATCTGGGGATGGCTGGAAGTCCTTCTCATCCACCAGTATCTCCCGGATGGCGTCCAGGGGCTGCGTCTCAAAGATCCAACGCGTAGCGCTGACATCTGGCCGGGACCCCTCCTCCAAGGAGATCCCGCGGATCACCCGCACCTGACTGGGGTCCTGGTTGAACTCGTCCAGAGGGCGGGTCTCAAAGAGCCAGCGCGCAGACCTCACCGCATTGCTTTGGATCTCTTCCCGGCAGGCCGCCTTGACCTCGTGGATAGCGCCCTCTGCGTCCTGAATGGCGCACAGTGGTTGAGTCTGGAACAGCTTCACCGTCTTCTTCACATCGCCTTTCAGCTCCTGGATCTCTGAGCGCAGCTCCAGGGGGCTCTGCTCCTGCATGGAGGGGCGGGAGCCCAGGCGGTCCAGTGGCCGAGTCTCAAAGAGCATCCTGGTCCCTTGCACGTCTCCACTGGCTGCAGGCTCCCTCCCTGGGCCCTCGGTCGCCTCTGCCTCCATCTGGCCTGTCAGCTCATCCAGCGGCTTTGTCTCGAACAGCCAGCAGGCAGCACGAACGTCGCCTCCAGATGGCCGGGGTCCTGCTGGCTGGGGGTCGATGCTCTTGGCAAAGGAACCTTCCTCAAACTTGCGGGAGGTTGCCTGGACATCACTGCCTGGCACAGGTTCCTTGGCAGCTGGCTGCTCACGATCACCAATGGCATCCAGCCGCCAGTTCTCAAAGATCCAGCGCATGCACTGGACGTCACCCTCTGTGGGCTCCTCGGAGCCCAGGACCTCAGCCAGGTCCTCGGCCACAGCCTCGGCCAAGTTCTTGCGGAGCTCTGGATGGATGTGTCTGTAGAGGCGGCGGAGCTCACTCGCTTGGCGCTGCTGGTGGAACTTGGAGAAGGATTCCTTGGGTGGTGGCGGTGGCAGATGCCCCAGGGCTGAGGGTGGAGGCAGGGACAGGTCCTCTGCAGTTGCCATGGGCGTGGCTGGTGTGGGGGCCACCTGCGCCTGGGTTTCGGCCATCCTTCTGAGAGAAAGGGGCAGAGATGAGGATGGCATTGAGGTCCTCAGGTCAGGCGGAGCCATGTGCTAGGACAGGTGTCAGGGAGCAAAGCCCAGGGGTTGATTAGCTTTGGATGATGACTTATTTAGAGACCCCCTCCTCCATGTCAGCCTGGCCCACGGCTCACTTTGCCACCTGCGTGGCCGGTGTGTGACAAGTCTTGAACTTGGGACATGTGAACCCACCCACCTCAAGATGAGTTCCTGCTTCCCAGCTTGACCTTGGTTGCTAGGAAGTGGCAGGGGGGTGGGGAGGGGGTAGGCACACCACTGCCTTTGAGAGTCTTTCCTTCAGCCCCACAGGGATGCCCAGTTTCCAGTGGGAAACCAGGCATGTCTTGTCTTTGCCTTTCTTTGCCAAAATCAGTTTTCCCTGGTGAAAATCAGACCCCAGGTAAGTGGCCTGTGGAAATCCTGATTGATGCAGTCACGGACTTAGCGTGGAGGGGTCCCTAAACTGTGGAGTGTGAATTGGGCATGGAGATGCAGTTCCTCTGCAGAGGACCAGAGGGCGAACTTCCCTGCACTCAACTCACTCCAAACTTTCCCAGGCCCACAGAGAGGTGCCAGGGGTCAGCAGCCTATGCAAGTAACCAAGGATGGGGCTGGGGGAATTGCTCACCAAATATCTCAAGGCCAGGCAGAACCAAATTCTCATTTCTAGGTCTGAGTTTTCTATGCTGTACCCAAGACTCAGAAGGTCTGAGCAGGTGGATCTTTTGTTTTTGTTTTTTTTCAGATTTTTTTTTTTTTTTTTT